TATTAATCTGGGCTTCAGACATACTGGCCTAGGCTGTTCTTTTTTTTTTTTTTGAGACAGAGTCTCGCTTTGTCACCCAGGTTGTAGTGCAGTGGTGCAATCTCAGCTCACTGCAACCTCCGCCTCCTGGGTTCAAGCGATTCTCCTGCCTCAGCCTCCTGAGTAGCTAGGATTACAGGCATGTGCCACTCGCTCAGCTAATTTTTGCATTTTTAGTAGCGATGGGGTTTCACCATGTTGGCCAGGCTGGTCTCGAACTCCTGACCTCGAGTGATCTGCCCATCTCAGCCTCCCAAAATGCTGGGATTACAGGTGTGAACCACTGCATCCAGACTGGCCTAGGCTATTCTTGAAACCTGCAAATGATAGGCAAAGTTGTACCTTTGTATGCTTCTGTACTTTACTTTTTCTGTTTTAGAGTGTATAGCTTGTAATCTGTTACTAATTGAAGAGATTAAACAATGGGAAAATGGGATATTACTTTAAAAAAATCAATTGATAGGAAGCTTTTCTGGACTACCTACATGAAATAAAGAGTATCTATTTTTAGACAGAAGGTGCTAAATAGTATTGCTGCCTTTTGTAAGTATGGAAACTATTATATAGAAACATTGAAGTTTAAAGACTATTAAATCTACCTATTTTGATTTACAGATTAAGGAGACGGTGATAAATGGGTTGGAAAACATGGGAGGTAAGATGAATGTAGACTTATTTATTATATACATGTCCTCAGCACACAAAGATAAAGTCTTTTTGTTTTTTTTTTTGAGATGGAGTCTTGCCCTGTTGCCCAGGCTGGAAACAGAGCAGTGGCGCGATCTCAGCTCACTGCAAGCTCTGTCTCCCAGGCTGATGCCATTCTCTTGCCTCAGCTCCCAAGTAGCAGGGACTACAGGTGCCCATCACCACGCCGGGCTAATTTTTTGTATTTTTAGTGGAGACGGGGTTTCACTGTCATAGCCAGGATGGTCCCAATCTCCTGACCTCGTGATCTGCCCGCCTCGGCCTCCCAAAGTGCTGGAATTACAGGTGTGAGCCACCATGCCTGGCCTTTTTTTTTTTTTTTTTTTTTTTGAGATGGAGTCTTGCTCTATCTCCCAGGCTGGAGTGCAGTGGTATGATCTTGGCTCACTGCAACCTCCACCTCCCGAGATCAAGCAATTCTCCTGCCTCAGTCTACCAAGTAGCTGGAACCACAGGCGTGCACTAGCATGCCTGGCTAATTTTTGTATTTTTAGTAGAGACAGGGTTTCAACATATTGGCCAGGCTGGTCTTGAACTCCTGAACTAAAGTGATTTGCCTGTCTCAGCCTCTCAAAGTGCTGGGATTACAGGTGTGACCCACCCCACAGGCCAAAGTCTTTTATCTTTTTATATTTTAATGCTACCTCTCTGGCCTCCCCTTCCCTGCCCTTCCTTCCCCTTACCTCCCCCTTTTTTTTAAGAGATGATCTTGCTCTGTTGCCCAGACTGGAGTGCAGTAGCATGATCATAGCTAACTATAACTTATGAACCCATGGGCTCAAGCAATCCTCTTACCAGAGTAGCTGGGACTACAATTACCTGCCACTATGCCCAGCCTTTTTTTTTTTTCTTTTTTTAAAAAAATTTTCCATAGAAACAGGGTCTCACTATATTGTCCAGGTAACTCCTGGCCTCAAATGATCCTCCTGCCTCAGCCTCCCAAAGTGCTGGAATTTACAGGTGGGAATGCCTGGCCCTTTTTTTAATTTTTGAGGTAGGGCCATGCTCTGTCACCCAGGCTGGAGTGCAGTGGTGCGATCATGGTTCACTGCAGCCTCTCCCTCCCAGGCTCAGATGATGCTTCCACCTCAGCCCCCGGAGTAGCTGGGACTACAGGCACACACCACCACTCCCAGCTGATTTTTGTATTTTTAGTAGAGATAGCGTGTCATCATGTTGGTCAGGCTGGTCTCAAACTCCTGACCTCAAGTGATCCGCCCACCTTGGCCTCCCAAAGTGCTGGGATTACAGTTGCGAGGCCCCATGCCTGGCCTTCACTGACATTTTATTCCCGTATTTTTTTTTGCCTCTAGTCTTCAGATACTGTAAACAATGAACATTCATGTACATACCAATTAGATACCAATTAAATATTTTCAGTATAGGCAAAACTTTTTTTTAAGATGTTAATTGGGTTTGTGTATAACTTTTTACTTGAGATTTCTTTTTTTGAGACGGAGTCTTGCTCTGTCACCCAGGCTGGAGTGCAGTGGCCGGATCTCAGCTCACTGCAAGCTCCGCCTCCCAGGTTTACACCATTCTCCTGCCTCAACCTCCCAAGTAGCTGGGACTACGGGCGCCCGCCACCTTGCCCCGCTAGTTTTTTTTTTGTATTTTTTAGTAGAGACGGGGTTTCACCGTGTTAGCCAGGATGGTCTCGATCTCCTGACCTCGTGATCCACCCGTCTCGGCCTCCCAAAGTGCTGGGATTACATTCATGACAATTTTCTATGCTTAATATTGAAAATCACTGAAAAGGTTATTGAAGATAATTTTTTGTGTTGTACCTTTTGGAAACAAGTATGATAGTGACATTTACCTTTTCAGATAATCTACTTTCTCTTTTTCCAGCTGCATTCCAGTCCATGATGACAGGAGGTAACATTGGAAAGCAGATAGTTTGCATTTCAGAAGAAATCTCTTTGTAATCGCTGTTAATGTCTTCAAGGCAATCATAGATTTCTTTTCCATTTTGCGTATTTTCTAAGATACATTAAAAAATGCTTAGAATATACATAGCTCTCGATTTAAATGTGATCATAGGTGTTATTTTTAGTTGCATAGGGGATTTGATACAACCATTAATGGATCACACACAATAGGTTTTTAATAGTAACTTTTAGTAATTACTTTTATTAATTTAAAAGAATGCTTGAGAGGCACTTCATAAAGATTTGTTAAACTGGAAAAGTTTTACATGATCTGATACAACCATTAATGAATCATACACAATAGGTTTTTAAAAATAGTAACTTTTATTAATTTAAAATAGAATGCTTAAAATAGAATACTTGAGAGGCACTTAGTAAAGATTTGTTGAACTGGAAATGTTTTACATGATTCTTAAACTGAAACTTGATGTAAAAATAGAATTGAGATGGCCTTTTTTTCACATTGTAGACAGAAAAGAGACTTAATGGTATGATGTGTACATAGGGACTAGGGGCAGGATTGGGAGGTTTCAGAGCTTGTGTAACAGTTTTTGGGATAGGAGACCAGCGGCTTTGGGTTGGGATTAGTATGGGAAGATAAATAACTTAGGTTGGTTAAGTTGACAAGATTTACTCCAGAGGATGATCTCTTTGTATTTGCCAAATAATTTACTGTATAGCCTAAAAACTCAATATATATTGAGAAAAGTGTATGTTGATTTTAGGTTAGCAGGCACATACTGTCAAATAGTTGTAAAGATTGAGAGGGCAAACAGATGTAAACATCAGTTGGAGTTTTAGGTGATTAAAAGATTGATGGCCGGGCCTGATGTCTCAAGCCTGTAATCCTAGCACTTTGGGAGGCAGAGGCGGGCAGATCACTTGAGGTCAGGAGTTCGAGACCAGCCTGGCCAACACAGTGAAACCCCCCTCTCTCTAATACAAAAATTAGCAGGGCATGGTGGTGGGTGCCTGTAATTCCGGCTACTCAAGAGGCTGAGGGTGGAGAATCATTTGAACCTGGGAGGGGGAGGTTGCAGTGAGCTGAAATCGCACCATTGCACCCTAGCCTGGGCAACAAGAGTGAAATTCCGTCTCAAAAAACAAAAACAGATTGACAATAAAGACAGCTTCAGAAAATGACAGGACTGAGCAAAATAGCAAATGTTTGTAAACATGAATGTTCAGGAACTGCTGATGTACCTCAAGTTTGTTTTATTAATTGTACTCAACCCTCACAGAACAGTAAAACTGAAGATTATTGTTTCTGAATGTTTTGGCTTATGATCGTCTGTCTACACACTGCCAATACACTTTTGTATGCAACATTTGTAATAAGTAGATCAAATTGTGTTGGTAATCAGCCTCTCCAGTTTACTTGAGTGGCTCTTTCTTGTTACTTTTCCTGGACCATTTCATCTCCTGAGGGGGTTTCACCTTTTCTTTGTATGTTGCTAACTCCCAAATCTCCATCTGTATTTCTCACCTCTTTCTTGAGCACTGGACCTTTACCTCCAAGTAAATATCCTCAACTCTGGATTGGCACCTTATACTCTGCTTTTTCTTTTTTTCTTTTTTTGTCTCGCTGTGCCGCCGCCCAGGCTGGAGTGCGGTGGCACGATCTCGGCTCACTGCAAACTCCGCCTCCCGGGTTCAAGCGATTCTTCCAGAGTAGCTAGGATTACAGACGCGTGCCACCACACCCGGCTAATTTTTGTATCTTTAGTAGAGACGGGGTTTCACTGAGTTAGGATGGTCTCTATCTCCTGACCTCGTGATCCGCCTGCCTTAGCCTCCCAAAGTGCTGGAATTACAGGCGTGAGCCACCGAGTCCGGCCTACTCTGCTTTTCTAAAGTGGAATGATCTTCCTCTGAAACGTTTCTCCTTTATTTTAAATCACCATTAGTAATTTGTGTACCCAAACCTGTCATCGAGGCTTATCTTTAACCTTGAAAATCCCTTTTTAAAGATAACTCCTAAGGCCGGGCGCGGTGGCTCAAGCCTGTAATCCCAGCACTTTGGGAGGCCGAGGCAGGTGGATCACGAGGTCAGGAGATCGAGACTATCCTGGCTAACATGGTGAAACCCCGTCTCTACTAAAAATACAAAAAACTAGCCGGGCGTGGTGGCGGGCGCCTGTAGTCTCAGCTACTTGGGAGGCTGAGGCGGGAGAATGGCGTGAACCCGGGAGGCGGAGCTTGCAGTGAGCCGAGATCACGCCACTGCACTCCAGCCTGGGAGACACAGCGAGACTCCGTCTCAAAAAAATAAAAATAAAAAAAAAATAAAAAAAGATAACTCCTTTAATTCCCCACATTAGTTGAGTCTCATTCTTCCGCACGCAAATATTTAAAAGTAAGTAATTTCAAGAAGTCAGTCAAACTCACAAAGCTTTAACAAGGTGGCATCTAGCTTGCAAGTCAAGTGTTCAAGGCCGCAGTCGGGACATCCAAGAGCTCTTTACATCCTAATTACAACACCGAACCCACACTCACTGTATACCCCGTCCCGTATATAATGCAAAACTTGATTCTGCAAGTTCTTTCTCAGGCGGTGAAACTTCGAGGTCCTCTCCATGGAGACCTCTGATAAATGTTTAAGCAGTGATCCTTTCTCGTTTGCCTCCATTGCAACGCCTCCGCTGATGGGAAAAACTACTCCCTCCGCTACTGCGGGGTGGCAGTGACGTCAACGAATTAGCTGACCTGTTTTTTCGGGCTTCGCGGACCTAGGAGTCCCGAAGGCCGAGAGTGAGTAACTGGGAGCGGGGAGGCTGCGGCTCCTCCTGTCCGGGGCGGAGCCCTGCGTCGCGGGCCCGGGCAGTCCCCGCCAGCAGCCTTGACGTCTGGGTCTCGAGCGCCGCTGCAGCCACCCAGCCCTGAGGCGAGCGAGTGGATGTGTGCGTGGGGGGTCGGCCAAACTTCCTGTCCCGCGCTCGAGCTGCTTCCGGCGGGAGCCGGAAGACGCTGTGTGTGGACGGAATTCGGGACCGACAGACGGCCGGCCGGCTGCCCAGAACTGGAAGGTGAGCTCCGAGGTGGGCCTGGCCACACCTGCTCGGCTAGGTAGTAACCCAGAGGGCGGGGGCCAGTACCGGCTACTTGGGGCCTGGGGCCGAGTTCATCCCGAGAGAGGAAACCGCCCTCCTTGGGCATCCCTCCAGGATCTGGCGGGCCTGGGAGCGGCCAGTCTGAAGCCCTGCGGCTTTGGCCCTTCCCCTCGCGGGTTTTTAGGGGCGATATTCCTACTCCTTTGCTTGGTTTTGGGGACAGGGATATAGGAACAGACTGTCCTGAGAAAGCCGGAGTCGGCGAGTCCCCAGGGCGGGGGCTCTTGGACTGCACCCGCAGCCGGGGCCTGCCCGCGGACCTTGGGGCCTTATTACTAAGGCCTTTGTGGTGTGGGGTAGAGGATGCCAGGAGGCCTTGCCCTGAATGTTTCGGTCCATAGCTACCCTCTCCTTTCATACCACTTACTTTCTGCGTCTGGAAAAGGGACAGCTGCCTACTCGACTGGGCTGGGTCGCCCGTTTCACCTTTGCCTGTCAGTTAGGGGGGTAGGGGAGGGTGTATGAATTGTGTTTACGGCCTTTATACATTTCGTGTCGAATTTATTTTCTGAAATTTCTCAAGATAATCCAATTTATTAAAGTTTATCCCACTTGCTCATGAGGCTCAGAAATGCATTTAGGCACCATTTGGAAGTTAAATATTAAGTTGGGACTTAAGAATTAGTACTTAGGTTGGCACGAAGATCAACGCAGCATCTTTGCAGTAAATAAAAGAAACATTTGGAAATAAAGTCGGGCATTTTGTTAGGGGGTGAGAAATTGCACTTGTTTTTTTCTTAGTGTGGTGCAGAGTAAAAGACAACTAAAGTAGCAGTCAGAAGTTTTAAGTTCTAGTTTTTTACGTTTTGCATCTAATTTTTGGCAAGTTGCTGAATCTCTAGCTCTGGGGAGTTTTTCTGTATAAACGAAAGGGTTTACCCTTAGGGTTATGACAATTATTCTGAGGCACTGAACTTTGAATAGAAGTGACATAAGCATTTCTTTGTTTTGGAAAGGTAACTTGAATGGCTGCCTAAAGGATGCATTGGAAAGAGGAATTTTAAAGGCGGGGTAACCAGTTAGAAGCCTGTTTTAGTAGTATAGTAGAAAGTTACTGAGAGACGCAAACAGGGCTTTACAGTAGGGAATAGAGAACATTCTGGGAACAGAGAATCACGGGGATTATTTAAAAATGGAGAAAGAGATTTAAAGACCTAGAATTTGCAGCTGAGTGGGAGGAAGATTGGGCGATCATTGAAATAGATAATTGAAATAGATAATACAAGAAGAACAGGTTTGGTAAGGAAGATAATAATCTGAATTTTGGACATTGTTAGGTTTGAGATGCTGTTGAATGTACATACATGTGGAGATACCTAGCAAGTAGTTAGAAATGAAGGTTTGGAGTTCAGCAGAGATGACTAGAGAAAAATGTGGGTATCATTTGTAGTGTCATTCATTCATTATACAAATGTTTAGTACCCACCAGTTGCTTACTGGGAAGCTTGTATGGAAGCCCTTTAAGCTCATAATAAACACATTAGAAGTGGGAAGTGACTGTTAATGGGCACAGGGTTTCCTTGTGAGGTGATGAAATGTTGTAAAATTGATTGTGCTTGTACAGCTCTGAATAAACTAAAGACATTTTAATTGTACTCTTTAAATGAGTCAATAGTATGGTATGTGAACAATATCTTAATGAAACTAATTTTTAAAAAAGATTTACATTGCAGTTTTGGAAATCTGTTGAGTAAGGAATTGGGAATAGGAATGTTTAATTGCATATTTGCTGTTACACCTGTAGCTAATTAGTACGTTGCTCTGTTAAAGATGAGATCCCCCACAGTACACTTGATAAGATACCGAGTGCTGGCCGGACGCGGTGGCTCAAGCCTGTAATCCCAGCACTTTGGGAGGCCGAGACGGGCGGATCACGAGGTCAGGAGATCGAGACCATCCTGGCTAACCCGGTGAAACCCCGTCTCTACTAAAAAATACAAAAAACTAGCCGGGCGAAGTAGCGGGCACCTGTAGTCCCAGCTACTCGGGAGGCTGAGGCAGGAGAATGGTGTACACCCGGGAGGCGGAGCTTGCAGTGAGCTGAGATCCAGCCACTGCACTCCAACCTGGGCGACAGAGTGAGACTCCATCTCAAAAAAAAAAAAAGATAGTGCTCTAGTACAAATTCTTTTGAGTTCAGTTGCATATCTTAATGCATTCTGCTATTTTCTGTTTTATTCATACTGTACACATACAAATCATAAACTTGGACACCAAAATTGTATGGCAGTACTTAGTTATTATATGAATACCTAGTGCTTGAGAAAATGCTCGTGTTAATTTTTAAAGATTATTGAAGTGAAAACACTGAAATAAAAAGATGTCATAGATAACATATAAAGGACAGTAAATAGTTGTCTGGTTCCTCAGAGATTTTACAATCCTGGAATCTCAAAGTTGGAGGAACCTTAAAGATGACTTAAACAACAAACATCTGATAATTTCTTGGCTTGTTAAGCTGGAATTGGGGAAGAGGAATTCTTGTTTTTTTTGAGACAACCTCCGTTCGTTACGCAGGCTGTAGTGCAGTGGTGTGATCGCTGCTTAGTGCAGCCTCGATCTCCTGGGCTAAAGCGATCCTCCTACTCAGCCTCCCTAGTAGCTTGGACCACAGGCATGTGCCACCATGTGAAACTAATTGAAAAAAAGTGGTTTTCTTTGTAGAAATAGGGTCTCACTGGCCGAGACTGCACCACTGCACTCCAGCCTGAGCGACAGAGCCAGACTCTGTCTCAAAAAAAAAAAAAAGGCCGGGCGTGGTGGCTCAAGCCTGTAATCCCAGCACTTTGGGAGGCCGAGACGGGCGGATCACGAGGTCAGGAGATCGAGACCATCCTGGCTAACACGGTGAAACCCCATCTCTACTAAAAATACAAAAAAAAACTAGCCGGGCGAGGTGGCGGGCGCCTGTAGTCCCAGCTACTCGGGAGGCTGAGGCAGGAGAGTGGCATAAACCCAGGAGGTGGAGCTTGCAGTGAGCTGAGATCCAGCCACTGTACTCCAGCCTGGGTGACAGAGCGAGACTCCGTCTCAAACAAAAAAAAAAAAAAAAAAGAGAGAGAGAGAGAGAAATAGGGTCTCACTGTGTTGCCTAGGCTGAGAAAAGGAATTCTTAAGCCATGGAGATTCAAGATCAAACCTAGAGAGATGTAATCACTCTTCACGCTAATGATTCCTGCGTACTTCCCCTGTGGGTGGGAGTCTTGGCTTTGCAACTTAATAACTTGGTAATTAAGTATATTACTTAATTACTTAATACTGAGCCTTGGTTCCTTCCTCTCTAAATAGAGGGATGGATAAACATATGAAGCTGTTGCAGAGCTTGAATAAGAAAAATGTGTGTGAAAGAAAAGTCAGGGATTTATGATACTTTATGTGGGAAACTTGGAAGGAGCGTTTCCATTTATATCTTGTAAATGGTTACTTCTTTTTTTTTTTTTTTTGACACAGAGTCTTGCTCTGTCGCCCAGGCTAGAGTACAGTGGCGCGATCGCGGCTCGCTGCAGCCTCTGCCTCCCGGGTCCAAGTGATTCCCCCACCTCAGCCTCCTGAGTAGCTGAGACTGCAGGCACGTGCCACCACACCTGGCTAATTTTTTGTATTTTAGTCCAGACGGGTTCCACCATGTTGGCCAGGATAGTCTCAATTTCCTGACCTTGTGATCTGACCACCTCGGCCTCCCAAAATGCTGGGATTACAGGTGTGAGCCACTGGCCCTGGCCTAAATGGTTACTTTTTTACAATGAAAAAGGAGGATTTCAGGCAGCTAGAAAGAGAGAGGGAGGAACCAACAGGACAAAAAAAAAAAAAATTTATTCAGGTACTTTTTTTTTTTTAAAGATGGAGTCTTGTTCTGTCGCCCAGGCTGGAGTACAGTGATGAAGTCTCAGCTCACTGCATCCTCCGTCTCCAGGGTTCAGGCGATTCTCCTGCCTCATCCTCCGAAGTAGCTGGGATTACAGGCACCAGCCACATGCCCGGCTAATTTTTATATTTTGGGTAGAGACGGGGTTTCACCATATTGTCCAGGCTGATCTTGAACTCCTGACCTCAGGTGACTCACCTGCCTCGGTGCTGGGATTACAGACATGAGCCACCGCGCCCAGCCTAAGTGCCCTCTTTGTTAAGTCTGTCTTGTTCTACCTTTCCACGCTACCTGGTATTAATTGGAAACTTAAAGTACCCATTAATTGAAAATATACCCATCCTGGATACATTTTACCCTGTATGATTATTTGTAATAGTGCTCCCAATTTTAGCAACAATTGTACCAAATAAAATGGACTAACATTACAAAATCCTGAAAAGAAACTAAACTATTAGAAAGTAAGAATTTAAGGCCGGGCGCGGTGGCTCAAGCCTGTAATCCTAGCACTTTGGGAGGCCGAGACGGGCAGATCACGAGGTCAGGAGATCGAGACCATCCTGGCTAACACAGTGAAACCCCGTCTCTACTAAAAATACAAAAACTTAGCCGGGCAAGGTGGCAGGCGCCTGTAGTCCCAGCTACTCGGGAGGCTGAGGCGGGAGAATGGCGTGAACCCGGGAGGCGGAGCTTGCAGTGAGCTGAGATCCGGCCACTGCACTCCAGCCTGGGTGACAGAGCGAGACTCCGTCTCAAAAAAAAAAAAAAAAAAGAAAGTAAGAATTTAAATTCCAGGGAATGGCAGGGCCTGGTGGCTCATGCCTGTAATCTCAGCACTCTGGGAGGCCAGGACAGGCGGATCACCTAAGGTCGGGAGTTCGAGACCAGCCTGACCAACATGGAGAAACCCTGTCTCTACTAAAAATACAAAATTAGCCAGGTGTGGTGGTGCATGCCTGTAATCCCAGCTACTCCGGGGGGCTGAGGCAGGAGAATTGCTTGAACCTGGAAGGCAGAGGTTACGGTGAGCTGAGATCGTGCCATTGCACTCCAGCCTGGGCAACAAGAGCAAAACTCCATCTCTAAATAAATAAATTAATTAACTAAATAAATTATAGGGAGAGAACAGCCGCATCAGGGTCCTGAGAGTACTACCTTTGGGAAACACTCTTCAAGTTTTTACTGTTTCTTTAATGTAATTTTTTAAATTATCAAAACGATATGGTTGCCTTTTAGAAAAATCGGACAATCGAGAAAAGAAAATTAAGTCACACCAGCCTACCACACAGTATGGCTACTGTCATAGCTGTATGAATCTCCTTTTATTTTTTCTGATGCTTATTATAACTAGTTTTAATAATAGCAAGTATATAATTTTGTATTTTGTTTTTATAATTTAACATGTCAGTCATCTGTTGCTGCATAGTCTTCATAGCATTTGTTTGTTGGTTTGTTTTTTGAGATGGAGTCCCACTCTGTCGCCCAGGCTGGAGTGCAGTGGTCTGACCTTGGCTCACTGCAACCTCCACCTTCTGGGTTCAAGGGATTCTCCTGCGTCAGTCTCCCGAGTAGCTGGGATTACGGGTGCCTGCGACCATGGTTGGCTAATTTTTGTATTTTTAATAGAGAGGGTTTCACTGTGTTGGCCAGGCTGGTCTCGAACTATTGACCTCAAGTGATCCACCCACTTCAGCCTATCAAAATGCTGGAATTGCAGGTGTAAGCCACCATGCCCAACCCTTGATAGCATATTTTGAAGTGACAGTGCCATATTTAATCAATCATTCCCTAATTAGGGTGTGTGTGTGGTGTATGTATATACATTGCTTCCAGTTGTTTATTATTTAAGAGGGACATCTTTGGACATAGCTCTATCCATATTTAAGATAGTTTCTGAGATTATTAAAGGTTGAAATACTGCATCAAAGCATAGTATTTTTATGGGTTTTGATGCCTGTTGAGCTTGTTGTATTTTAAAACAAGTGTTTTGGTTTGAATTCTTTATTTGCTTGCTTGTGATTTTTTTTGGATATGTGAAGAAGTGTCTTTATGTACCTGTGTTTTCCCACTGCTCTTAATGCCCCTTCTCTCTTTTTTTACCCTATTCTAGGTTAAATTGATTACCCACCTAGTACAACATCTTACAGGAAGAGCATAGTATTTCCTAGAGGAGTATGAACATAACAGGAAGGTATCATTGGCTCTGAATTAAATTTGAACTTGTCCCCTGAATAGCTACAGGTTTTGGAAGCTGAATCAATGTTATCAGATGAGTTAGAATCCAAACCAGAGGTGAGCCCAGTCAGCTTGTTTCCTTTTCTTTTGGCGGGCTATATTTCAAAGTTTATCTTTAGTTTAGGGGTCAGCAAACTTTTTATTCAATGAGCCAGATAATAAATATTTTAGGTTTTATAAGCTGTATATGTTTTTCAGTATACGTAAAATCATTATACATTTAGATAATTATGTAATAAAATCTTGTAAATAAAAATATGTTTATGTATAAATATGTACTTACATAAATATGAGATACATGCGATGTATATAGGTGTATACATATATAAATATTTACTACTACAAATTATTCTTTTGTTTATTTTGTATATGTAAGTATTTTCTTTCTAAATGTGATTAGGGGATTTAAACATTTTTTGTTGTTCACTTTTCTTACTTTAAATTTAGCACATCTGTGTTGCAGAATGGACACTGAATTTGGAACCAGATTACTTAAATTTAAGGATTGGCATTGCTCGTAACTAGTCATGTGACCTTAGACAAGTCACTTAATGTTTCAATTTGATTCCTCAGCTGTAAAATACACCTTAAGGCCGGGCGCGGTGGCTCACGCCTGTAATCCCATCACTTTGGGAGGCCGAGGCAGGTGGATCACGAGGTCAGGAGATCGAGACCATCCTGGCTAACACAGTGAAACCCCGTGTCTACTAAAAATACAAAAAAAAATTAGCGGGGCCTGGTGGTGGGCACCTGTAGTCCCAGCTACTTGAGAGGCTGAGGCAGGAGAATGGCGTGATCCCACGAGGCAGAGCTTGCAGTTAGCCTAGATTGTGCCACTGCACTCCAGCCTGGGTGACAGAGTGAGACTCTGTCTCCAAAAAAAAAAATACATCTTAAATCTTACTGGGTTAATGTGATAATTAAATGAGCCAGTACACAGAAAATTGCTTTGTAAAATGTAATCAATATGATGCAGTTGATTTTAAGCCATTATTTTAAAATGTAAGTATTTTTATCATTTCTCTGTTTGACAGAAGGTGGCAGAGGTTAACTTAATTACAGTGAAGTGTCACTTAGCGATAGAGATGCATTCTGAGAAATATGACATTAGTTGACTTCATTATTATGCGAACATGGTAGAGTATACTTTCACAGACCTGGATGGTTTAGCCTGCTACATTCCTAGGCTGTATGGTGTACCCTATTGCCCCTAAGCTGCAAACCTATACAGCATGTTACTGTACTGAATACTGTAGGCAGTTGAAGCATAGTGGTAAACATTGTGTATCTAAACATATCTAAATGTAGAAAAAGTACAGTAAAAATAGGGTATTACAATCTTACGGGACCATAATCCTGTATGTGGTCTGTTAACTGAAATGTTGTTATGCAGCACATGACTTTATATAAATCAGCTGTTCTCTAGAACAGAGAACTTGATAAAATAACTTTAGATATTATGGTGTTTAGTTTTTCTTTGAATATGGATGAGACTAGTAAATAGTCTTAATATTATCTTTTGGTAAATTCAGAGGTTTAGATACATTTCTAACAACTTGTATTTCTCAGTGTTGTCTTTTTTCCCCCTAGCTCCTGGTACAGTTTGTTCAGAATACATCCATCCCATTGGGACAGGGGCTTGTAGAATCAGAAGCTAAAGATATTACTTGTTTGTCCCTCCTTCCCGTGACTGAAGCCTCAGAATGCAGTCGGCTAATGTTACCAGGTAAAAATTAAGATCACTAGAGATAGGATAAAGAAGTCTTAAGAGCTTAGCCTACTCTATGTTACTGGTGGAATGAATATATCACTTAATAACTGACTGGTGGAAACTGTAAAAATTAGGAGTCATGGAGAAAAAGCAACCATGAAATCATTAGTGCTTTGGTAGTTTAAGCCATAGGAAAGGATATGATCACCCAGAGAGTGTGAGAGTGGGGAAAAAAGGTCAATGCAAAACTATGGAACTATTTATTTAAGGTACAGGGTAGGGCAGGAGAACTTGTAAAGGAGGGAAGAAGCGAAGACTAAAATAGTTGGATGAACATCAGCAGAGTGGAGGCATGAAACCCAGGGGAAATCATTGTATCAAATGCTACTGACAGGCCCAGTGAAATAGGGACTAAAAGGACACCATTATTGACTTTGGCAGAACCTGTTCCATGGAGAGAAGAGGATGGAAAGTCAGGCTGCAGTGACTTGAGTGTACAAGCTGTTTTTTTTGAGACGGAGTGTCACTCTGTCACCCAGACTAGAGTGCAGTGGTGCAATCTCGGCTCACTGCAACCTCTGCCTCCCCTCCCGGGTTCAAGCTAGTCTCCTGCCTCAGCCTCCTAAGTAGCTGGGATTACAGGTGCGCGCCACTATGCCTAGCTAATTTTTGCATTTTAAGTAGAAACAGGGTTTCACCATGTTGGCCAGGCTGGTCTTGAACTCCTGACCTCAAGTGATCAGTCCACCTTGGCCTCCCAAAGTGCTGGGATTACAAGTGTGAGCCACTGCATCAGGCCTATCAATACATACTTTCTAAAGACTCTCCTGGTACGAGAAGGAAAACGAGAAGGTGATGAGATAGAGGGAAATTTTTTGTTTGTGTTAAGATCTGAGGTATTTGAGGGTTGCTTTATGCTAAGAGGAAAGAACCAGTTAGAAAAGTTGAAGACAGGCCAGGTGTGGTGGCTCATGCCTGTAATCCCAGCACTTTGGGAGGCTGAGGCAGGAAGATTGCTTGAGCCCAGGAGATTGAGACTAGCCTGGGCAACATGGCGAGACCTCGTCTCTACAAAAAATTAAAAATTAGCTGGGCATGATGGTGTGCACCTGTAGTCCCAGCTGAGGTGGGAAGATCAATAGAGCCCAGGAGTTTGAGGCTGCAGTAAGCTGTTTTTGCAACACTGCACTCCATCCTGGGTGGATAGAGCAACACCTTAAAAGAAATAGTAATAATAAATTTAAAAAAAAAAAATATATATATATATATATAAACAAACAATAATTAAGGAAATGAAAACAACAGAGTGTCCATCTCCCCTTAGAATGACTGTTGTAAAGATGGAAGATAACAAGTGTTGGCAAGGATATGGAGAAAAGGTAACCTTTGTATACTGTTGGTGGGAATGTAAGTTAGTACAGCCATTATGGAAATTGTATGGAAGTTCCTCAGAAAACTAAAAATGGAGCTACCATATGACCCAGCAATCTAACTTGTAGGTATATATCTAAAGGAATTGAAATCAGTAAGTCAAAGATATCTATACTTACATGTTAATTGCAGCATTATTCATAATAACCAAGATAAGGAATCAGTTTTGTGTTCATCAACTAATGAATGGATTTTTAAAAAATGCATTCACCTTCTTTTGCACATTTCCTTTAGTTTTAATTTTAAGTATTTGAGACATACAAACAAGTATAGATAAAAGTAAATGAAAATCCAAATACTTGCCTCCCAGCTCATAAAACACAATATTACAGGCTGGGCGTGGTGGCTCACGCCTATAATCCCAGCACTTTGGGAGGCCGAGGCAGGTGGATCACTTGAGGTCAGGAGTTTGAGACCAGCCTGGCTGGTGAAACACTGTCTCTACTAAAAATACAAAAGTTAGCCAGGTGTGGTGGCACAGAAAAAAATACCACAGCCTGAGGTACAACCAGAGGTAAAAAGGTAATGGTAAAAACTGCAATAGCTTTTGCACCAACCTAATATAAAAGTTAAGGAGAGGGAGCGCTCTACAAGAAAAATAAAATGTAGATCCTATTCTTGAGTTAGTATTCATTGTATAGCTATATTTTTCAAGGAAAAAGTACTGATTTCTGGCTTCAAAAAGGACTAAATTCCATGGTCCAAATGTGAATGGTTGGTTATTCACCAACCATTACTGCCAAGTGACAGAGAATTCTGTTCCTCACATTTTGGCTGACTGCCTTTAGAACATAAAGCCATCTCTCTTTTCTTCTGTGAGACAGAGTTTTTATTTGTATAATGAGAATGCTGTCTGCTCCTATAAGGATGTTAGCTTCCAAGAGATGTTGGGTGCTGTGTATCAAAATGGGGAGCCCCTGGAGATAGGTGTTACATAAAGCTGTGATATTTTCCCTTTACTAGATGATACTACAAATCATTCTAACTCCTCCAAGGAGGTCCCTTCCTCAGCTGTTTTGAGAAGCCTTCGGGTGAATGTAGGTCCAGACGGAGAGGAGACGAGAGCTCAGACTGTACAGAAATCCCCGGAGTTTTTGTCCACTTCAGAGTCTTCTAGCTTGTTGCAAGATCTACAGCCAAGTGATAGCACTTCTTTTATTCTTCTTAACCTAACAAGAGCAGGTATTCTTTCCTTTTCTTGAGCTCTGCTAATGCCTAAGAAAAAAATTAGGGGTGGGGCATATTTTACTTAGTCATACTTAAAATAGAAAGAAGCTTTATTATTTTATTATTTTGGAGAATTGGTGTGTCTGGTGACCATTTGAATATGTAGAGGGAGAGGGAGGACTCTAGTATGATCCATCTTGTTTGGGAAATTATGTAGTGCCATTTACTGAGATCGAACAGGAAGAGCAAGGCTTGGGGGAGGATGATTAGTTCCAATTTATGGCTATTTATGTTGAGATTTTGGAGGTACATTCAGGAGGACATGTCCTTTAGAGAGTTAGAAACAGGAATCCAGAGTTCTAGAAAGGTCTGTTTTGGTGCTTATCAGCATTCAGGAAATGTATGAAACAATGAGTGTGGATTCTTTGATTCAAGAGAAGTCTGAAGCATAAACAGAAAAGAAGGCAAGTCTGGGACCCTGGGAAAAAACATTTAAGAGGACAACAGAAGAACAGGAAGGAGCAGCTGGAAGGGGATGAAGAGAACTGGAGAGACTGGTAGTGGGGAAGCCAAGGGAGGGAGAAGTTTTAAGGCAGAAAATACACTAAATCATGCCAAATGCTACATGATGGGCTTATTAGTGAGAAGTGTGTGTCTGGTGACCCTAGCAAGAGCAGTTGTTACTGTGGTAGCTAAGGTAGAGGCCAGGGTTAAAGAGATGGGGAGTGGATGGGAGGTAAGACAGTAGATACGCAAGTTAGAAGGTACACTTGTTCAAGAAACTTGACTTTAAAGGAACAGGGAAGAAGGTAATAGCTAGAGAAGTACTTGGGGTTTTCTACTTCTTTTAAAAAATAAGGGTGAGAGACTTGAGTTAGAACATATTTAAAGACTCTAAGGAAATGCTGGCTGATAGGAAACTGGTTGCAGATGGGAGAGAGGAGATAACAGAAGTATATATGAGGGGATAATTGAAGAATGAGAATGAAATACTGTAGATGGGGGTTAGTCTGGTTGACCAAGAAAGACAGCTTTGCCTCTGAAATTAGAGGAGGCAAGGTAACGACAAGCCTGTAGACTAAAGGTAGAAAGGTGATAGCCTACTTTTCAATGAGAAGTTTGAGGTAAAAGGCGAAGGTCAGGAATAGGTTATTTAGGACATGGAGAGTTTCTGGGCCAGGCGCAGTGGCTCACGCCTGTAATCCCAGTACTTTGGGAGGCCGAGGTGGGCGGATTACAAGGTCAGGAGTTCACGACCAGCCTGACCCACGTGGTGAAACCCTGTCTCTGCTAAAAATACAAAAATTAGCTGGGCATGGTAGCGCATGCCTGTAATCCCAGCTACTCAGGCGGCTGAGGCAGGAGAATTGCTTGAACCTGGGAAGCAGAGGTTGTGGTAAGCCGAAATCGTGCCACTGCACTCCAGCCTAGGTGACAGAGCGAGACTCCGTCTCAAAAAAAAAAAAGGTGGGGGGACATGGAGAGTTTCTGAGCCAGGGCAAATAAAAGGCTTGCTTGGTTGCTAACTTTTCATATATTTTGTTTCTTCCAGGTCTGGGCTCTTCAGCTGAGCACTTAGTGTTTGTACAGGATGAGGCAGAAGATTCAGGGAATGATTTCCTCTCCAGTGAGAGCACAGACAGTAGCATTCCATGGTTCCTCCGGGTTCAAGAGTTGGCCCATGACAGTTTGATTGCTGCTACTCGTGCACAACTGGCAAAGAATGCAAAAACCAGCAGCAATGGTGAGGCCTGTTGGCATTTTCCTTGCCGCTATTCTGTGCAAAGAGATTTTGGTAATGCAGTGGCTGGTTTGAGTTGTATATAATTCAAGTTATTTTATTGATGAGAGCAGAAAGCTAGAAATCTGTAAATTGTTTAAATTTTATTTTCTGTAAAATAACTTGGCCATACTAGATTTATGTCCAAAACCAACTAGTATTCTGAATTCTCAACTTTAAAAATGTACAGAGCCCCTTTTAAAGAAAAAATAATATACATTCTGGGGTTTGAATTGTTTTTATTGTAATGTCTCTTAAATACGCACAAACATCAATTCTGTGTAAACTTCATATACTTAGAGCTCTTACACCCTCATGAAATCAAAAGTTTTATCAGTTAATAGGAATAAAACTACCAAACTCATGAAAATAAAAATAACATTAAGTCATTGCGGCAGAGGATTATGTTTTGCTGAAACTGAATTGCTGCTCCTGGCAGTTTAACAACTAGCTATGATGGTTTTAATGCTTTTTCTTTTTCAGTTCAGCATGCCTGTACTAATTACTCTGTGCCACTTTTCTCTGTTCTAGTAATTTTCAAAGCATTGTCACTGGTTCATTGATGTCACATGGGAACTGAGAAATGCAAACTCTCAGGCCCATGCCAGACCTACTGAGTCAAAAACTTTGTTCTGATACATGTTAAAGCTTGAGAACCACGGCTCTATTCGGACCACTGCAGAATCTTTGCTTATGTAGCATGTCATGAATTCTTTTTTATGTCTGCCTCTGTGTTTTCTCATTAACATGTGACAACTCAATACTACATGGTTTAATGCTATCATTATCACAAACTAAGCTTAAGCACTTAGTACACAGCTGTTTGGAGTTTATGCAGATTATTTAGTATATGCTTATTATTATTTTTTGATTACCATTCAAATGAAAATAAAAGTTAAAGTTTCTCATAGAGAACTAGAGTTCCCTATGAATATTTTGAAACATTAAATTTTTTTTTTTGTCTTCTGTTTTTTCCCTTTTTGTGGAGAATGGGGTTTTGCTCTGTTGCCCAGGCAGGTCTCAAACTCCTGGACTCAGGTTCTCCTCCTTCCTCTGGCTCCCTAAGTGCTGGGATTATAGGTGTGAGCAACCATGCTCAGCCAAACTTTAAACTTCTGTTCGTTTTCAAAATACTTAGTTCTGTTTATGACTACCATAGTGCTACTTAGAATGGTTCATTTTACCATTTTGGTAGGACCCTTAAAGTTCAGATTCTTCCTGAGATGTATGTGCCAATCTCTGGATGCTGAAACCTTTAGCATTTCCTCTTACATTGAAGAAATAGTGCCATATTTGCCAATGAGAAGCGGTGTAGGGAGGGGAGCTTGCAATTTAGAATCTGGGGGCTTGGGATCCAGGCCTGGGATCATCATTTATTAGTTCCCTGCTTTGGGCAGTTTAACCTCCCTTAGCTTCAATTTTCTTATGATCTGAACATGGAGATCAGGCAGCTTACCTGATTGACTTGTTATGGAGATTACGTAACATTCTATCTGGGAAATGTTAGAATCAGCAAAGCATTGTGTGGATGTTTTTCTTACTCTCAAAATATGTTGCCTTACTATCTTAACAACTACCTTGTATGCCCGAATATAAATCACCCCAAATAGGCTGGGCATGGTGGCTTACGCCTGTAATCCCAGCACTTTGGGAGGCTGAGGTGGGCGGATCATCTGAGGTCAGGAGTTTGAGACCAGCCTGACAAATGTTGAGAAACCCCGTCTCTACTAAAAATACAAAATTAGCTGGGCATGGTGGCGCATGCCTGTAATCCCAGCTACTTAGGAAGGCTGAGACAGGAGAATTGCTTGAACCCGGGAAGCGGAGATTACAGTGAGTTGAGATCGCACCGCTGCACTCCAGCCTGGGCAACAGGAGCGAAACTCGGTCTCCCCAAAACAAAAATCACCCCAAATATAAGACAGTCTTTTATTTTCCAACAAGGTAATTCCCTAAAAGCCTTTTTTTCCCCCCCTAACTTAGTTATGTAAACCTTTAGGCATGTAGATAAAATTAACATTATAGGTTGCTATTTGGAAACTTTATGATCTTGGTTATACATACTCATTTTTTAAATTTATTTATTTTTTTGAGACCGAGTCTCTCTCTGTCGCCCAGGCTGGAGTGCAGCAGTGCAATCTGCTCACTGCAGTGCTCACTGCAAACTCCACCTCCTGGGCTCAAGTGATTCTCTGCCTCAGCCTCCCGAGTAGCTGGGACTACATGTGCATGCCACCATGCCCAGCTAATTTTTGTATTTTTAGTAGACACAGGGTTTCACCATGTTGGCCATGGCTGGTCTCAAATTCCTGACCCAACGTGATCTGCCTGCCTCGGCCTCCCACAGTGCTGGGATTACAGGTGTGAGCCACTGCACCTGCTCCCACATAAACATTTGAATCATATGAAATATATCTATATTGCTTTTACCCACTAACACAAGCTTGTCCAACTCACGGCCTGTGGGCCACATGTAGCCCAGGATGCCTTTGAATGCAGCCCAACACAAATTTGTAAACTTTCTTAAAACATTATGAGTTGTTTTTTTTTTAAAGCTCACCAGCTGTCGTTAGTATTAGTTTTTGTTTTTGTTTTTTTTCTTTTTTTTTTTTGAGACGGAGTCTTGCTCTGTTGCCCAGGCTGGAATGCAGTGGTGCAGTCTCGGCTCACTGCAATCTCCGCCTCCCGGGTTGGTGCCATTCTCCTGCCTCAGCCTCCCAAGTAGCTGGGACTACAGGTGCCTGCCACCACACCCGGCTAATTTTTTTTGTACTTTTAGTAGAGACAGGGTTTCACCATGTTAGCCAGGATGGTCTCAATCTCCTGACCTCGTGATCTGCCTGCCTTGGCCTCCCAAAGTGCTGAGATTAAGGCATGAGCCACCGTGCCTGGCCAGTATTAGTATATTTTATGTGTGGCCCAAGACATTTCTTCTTTCAGTGAAAGAAGAATTTTGGCTCAGGGAAGCCAAAATATTGGACACCCTTGCACTAACATGTAATGAAGTGATTTTATTCAATATTTTAGTGCATTTTTAACATAAATATCTTTGTCATTGTCAACACTGAAGTCAGTTTGTGAGTCCTCTAGCATAGATTTTCAGAGCACATTATCTTCATTTATAATCTAAGTTGTTTGAAATACAGAAACATTTTAAGTTTGCGTAAGATGTTGTATATTAGGTCAGCAAAGGCCTTTGGGCCAAATCCCCACCGGTTTTTTGTTTTTTTTCTTTTTTTGAGACGGAGTCTCGCTCTGTCGCCCAGGCTCTGTCGCCCAGGCTGGAGTGCAGTGGTGTGATCTTGGCTCACTGCAAGCTCTGCGTCCCAGGTTCATGCCATTCTCCTGCCTCAGCCTCCCGAGCAGCTGGGACTACAGGTGCCCACCACCACGCCCAGCTAATTTTTTGTATTTTTAGTAAAGACGGGGTTTCACTGTGTTAGCCAGGATGGTCTCGATCTCATGATCTCATGATCGGCCCGCCTCGGCCTCCCAAAGTGCTGGGATTACAGGCGTTAGCCACCGTGCCCGGCCCGCACCTGTTTTTATAATTAAAGTTTTAGAACATAGGCATCCACATTACTTACAAATTGTCTAAGGCTGCTACTATGGCAAAGCTGAGTTGTTGTAACAGAAACCATATGGCAGCCAGGCGCAGTGGCTCACACTGTAATCCCAGCACTTTGGGAGGCCAAGGTGGGCGGATCACTGGAGGTCAGGAGTTCAAGACCAGCCTGGCCAACATGGTAGAACTCAAATGCACTCTTTTCTGAGGGATTTTTTTTTTTTAGGGAAAAATTTGCCTTATATTTCTTTGAGCATATATTGATAATCTTCATTGTTGAGCAGGAGGAGTTTCAATAATTTCTTAGCCTTTCCTTATTCTATGTATTCATTTTTCCTATTTTATGATTATATTAATATTCTTCTTATATCTATAAAACTGAATCCAGAAAGCCCCTACTATCACTGATTTGAATCACTGTATTAGCATGATGTTTTTGGCTGATGCAGTGGTTCACGCCTGTAATCTCAACACTGGGTGGCCGAGGCAGGTGGATCTGTTGAGCTCAGGAGACCAGCCTGGGCAACGTGGCAAAACCCCATCTCTACAAAAAAAAAAAAAAAAAAACAAAAAATTAACCAGGTGTGGTGGTGCACACCTGACTCTAGTCCCAGCTACTTGGGAGGCTGACGTGGGAAGATCTCCCGAGCTGGGGAGGTCGAGGTTGCAGTGAACTGAGATCATGCCACTGGATTCCAGCCTGGGCAACAGAATGAGACCCTGTCTCAAAAACAAAAACAAAAAAATGTAAAAGAAAAAAGTATGATGTTTAACAGACCTTTCATTAGAAATCAGTTAGCTGGAGTTCTGGGGTTGGTGGGAAGATTCCTTCATGGCATATGTATTTTTGTGCTATATGTGTAGATATTTTTCAGGTAAGCACATTTTTAAAAATCTTGGGGCAATATTAAAGAAAAAGTTAATAGTAACTAGCAGGAAGCATCCTAGGTTCTGCTCTGACCTTGGAGCAATCAGCTTTATGACTAGTATTTGGTAAAGTATAGCAAGGAGAAGATTAATAGATGGGACAGAAACTGCCTTTGATTAGCCATCAGGTTCTAGGGGTTGTGATAGGTACAACATATATATTATACTTTTGGCTATTGAGGGGGAAATTTGGAGATATAAATCTTATTGCTAAGGTATATATAGTGGAAAGATAAACTGCCTGCATATGCTCATAGCAGAATTAAATGACTATTAATTTTTTTCTCTATTGATGTTCAAGTATTTCTTGAAGAAAGTGAAAGAAAAGGACCACCACCTACTAATTTGGAATTTATATAAAAATTTTTAACTGATTTTGTTTACATTTAAGGGAGGCACTTTGTACTCCTCACCTCTCTTTATTCTGTTGAACAAAACTGCAGTAGATATTTTCTCTTACTTTTTAAAATGTGGTTAGAAATTTAAATTTTGTATTCCTTAAGTATTTTATAACTAAAGAAGGGGTGGTACAGGAAATTGGAAGGTGGTGCTTAGTTTCCAGAATGACAGGAAATGGCCAAATTCATTTCAGAAGATGGAAATCTAAAAATGGCTATCTGTCAAAGCCCACACTGAACCAGAATGACTGTTTCTCCTTAAAATACAGTGGGATTTTTTGTTTGTTTGTTTTTGAAACAGGGTCTTACTCTGTTGCCCAGACTGGAGTGCAGTGGTGCAATCTTGGCTCACTGCAGCCTCCGCCTCCTGGACACAAGCAAAATACAGTGTTTTTAACTACTCAGAACTTTGTCATCTTTGTAGCATACTACTCAGGGATAGTGTTGCTATCCCTGCTTCTCACCAAACTGTAATGCAAAGTGGGTTTAATTCTGCTTTCTAAGATTTCTAATAGCAAACTATTTTGGATATCTCTTAAATTTGTCAAAGAGGCCTAGTCTTGTGAAACAAAGCATGATAGTTTTTGGTAGTTTTTCCTGGAGTAAGGGAATAAATATGTAGAACACTTGCATTTCTATTGTTTTGTTTTATTTATTTATTTATTTATTGACAGATTCTTGCTCTGTCACCCAGGCTGGAGTACAGTGGTGCAGTCACGGCTCACTATAGCATCAACCTCCCAGGCTTAAGTGATCTTCCTGCCTTAGCCTTGGAGCCTCAACTAGAGGCCTGTGCCACCATGCCTGGTTAATTTTTGTTTGTTTCTTTGTGTTTTGTAAAGATACGGTTTCACCACATTGCCCATGCTAGTCTCGGAACTCCTGGGCTCAAGCAGTCCCCCCAGCTTGGCTTCCCAAGTGCTTGGGATTATAGGTGTGAGCACCACGCCTGGCCCAGTTTCTGCTGTTAAGTGTGTACACGGAGAACTGAGGAAGATGAAGATAGATATCTGATTCATGATCTCTAGGAGGAAAACATAGGAGCTTTACTGTTTGAGCCTAAGTATCTGAGTAGGGTCCTTTCCTGGATTATAAATATGTGACTCTGTTACAGGAGAAAATGTCCACCTTGGTTCTGGTGATGGGCAACCAAAAGATTCTGGGCCCCTTCCTCAAGTGGAAAAGAAGCTCAAGTGTACAGTTGAAGGCTGTGATCGGACATTTGTATGGCCAGCTCACTTTAAATACCACCTCAAGACTCATCGGTGAGCAAATCTGAGATCTCATATTTGGATATATGTTGATGCAAAAGTTGATTCTTTCAGAGGAGCTTGTCCCTCAGGTTGATAGATTACAGGAAAGTAGGGACTCCAGTTAACTTCTGGTTAAGATGTCTTTTTTTCTTTAACAGAAAGATTTGCATTGTCTCATTTATCTCATTCTTGATAAATATTTAATAAGACATTTGGGACCTAAAGACGTTAAACTAAGAGTTCTCAAATTTTATTATAAAACATATTTCCTTTGAGAACTTAAAAGTAACAAGTAAGCATGGGCCCCTACCTTGAACCTATGAAATCAGTTTAAGGGGTGGTGCTAGGCATCTGTAGTTTTTTGTTTGATTTTTTTTTTTTTTAAAGAGACAGGATCTCACCCAGGCTGGAGTACAGTGGCGCCATCATAGCTTACTGCAGTCTCAAACTCCTGTGCTCAAGTCATCTTCCTACCTCAGCCTCAGCTGGGATTACAGACTTGCACCACCACACCTGGCTAATTAAAAAAAAATTTTTTTGAGACAAGGTCTCGCTATGTTGCCCAAGCTGATCTCAAACTCCTGGGCTCAAGTAATCTTCCTGCCTCAGCCTCCAGAGTAGCTGGGATTACAGGCTGTGAGCCACCACCCAGCTGTAGTTTTAACGAAGTCTTCAGTTGATTCTGATATATCCAGTTTTTGGACTTACTGTTTGCCTTGAGAGTCAATAGGGGCTTTGACTTGTCATCTCTAGCAAAGAGTATTTTCAGATATTTTTGCTTATGTGATTATTTTTGCAGAAATGACCGCTCCTTCATCTGTCCTGCAGAAGGTTGTGGGAAAAGCTTCTATGTGCTGCAGAGGCTGAAGGTACACATGAGGACCCACAATGGAGAGAAGCCCTTTATATGCCATGAGTCTGGCTGTGGTAAGCAGTTTACTACAGCTGGAAACCTGAAGAACCACCGGCGCATTCACACAGGTATGTGCAGCACCAACATTCCTTTGGGCAGTCTACTCCTTGGCTCTGCATGTTTGCCTATCCTTAGGAAAAACTCAAGTGGGAATAGAAATGAAGGTCTGGGGTTGTTGCTAGAACTCTGAAGATGGGATTTCTTTTTCAAATGACTTGTGGCACTTATAATAATATTTATTGTATTTTTACCTATGTGTTTAGAGTGGACGATGTTGATTTCTGTCTCCAGGAGCCTAACCTGTAGGGAGAGTTGTAAGACCTTCTCAGACAACAATGATGTGGAGAGATCTGGACAAAATCATTCTGTGTTCAAATCTTTCTGAACATTGCGCAGTTAAGATTTTGGGCAGTAACATTTATTGAGTCACATAAATCATGCAGAACCTGTTCTAGGCACTAAATGGGGCAGGGTGGGAAAAAATACAAAAGATAAGATATAATCCCTGACTTTCTCATTAGAGCCTCACAACATGAGAAACAGAATAGAGAAATTAATTATTCTGGGTCACACAGCATGTTAATATCACAGGAACAAAATAAAGATTCCTTGACTCGTAGTCTAAGGGTGATTTTCCAAGCCACTTAGTCTAGCATGTTCTAGTCTCTAGCCAAAGTATAATTGCTGAACCCAGACCACTCTTAGAATGTGTAACTATTCTTCCCCACTTTCGTTGACTCTTCTTGATTCTTGCATTGGTAAAATGACAGCAGGTAAAATTAAAAGGCGAATATATATATATGACATATATAAAATAAAAAGCATGTATAAAAACATAAGGCATATGTAAAATTAAAAGTAAAAGGCATATATATATATATATACACACACATACTTTTTTTTTTGTTTTTTGTTTGTTTGTTTGTTTGAGACGGAGTCTTGCTGTGTCGCCAGGCTAGAGTGCAGTGGTGAGATCTCGGCTCACTGCAAGCTCCGCCTTCTAGGTTCACACCATTCTCCTGCCTCAGCCTCCCCAGTAGCTGGGACTACAGACACCCGCCACCACGCCCAGCTAATTTTGTGTGTGTGTGTATGTTTTTAGTAGAGACAGGGTTTCACCATGTTAGGTAGGATGGTCTCGATCTCCTGACCTTGTGATCCGCCCGTCTCAGCCTCCCAAAGTGCTGAGATTACAGGCGTGAGCCACTGTGCCCAGCCTGTACCGTTTTTTAAAATTAGTCAAATGCGGTAGTGAGAAGAGGGGAAAAAGTAACACAAGGCACTTGATCTATAACTGTGAACATCAGTTGAGATAACTCACTACCTTCGGACCAGCCCTTTGTTGTACCATTTGATAACACTGAACATCTTCTTAAAAAGCTTTCTTTTTTTCTTATTTATTTTTGAGACAGAGTCTTACTCTGTCACCCAGGCTGGAGTGCAGTGATGTGATCTCAGCTCACTGCAACCTCTGCCTCTTGGGTTCAAGCTTTTCTCGTGCCTCAGCCTCCCAGTAGCTGGGATTACAGGTGTGCACTACCATGCCCAGACAATTGTATTTCTAGTAGAGACCGGGTTTTGCCATGTTGGCCAGGCTGTTCTCGAACTCCTGACCTCAAGTGATCTGCTGACCTTGCCCTTCCAAAGTGCTGAGATTACATATGTGAACCACCACACCCAGCCTTAAAACGCTTTTACTTCAAAATATGGCCTGATTTTTCCGTTTTTTTGTTTTTTATTTTTCTCTTTCTAATTCTTTCTGACTTTTATCTGTTAATCTCTGAATTTTTCACCAGTTTCAGAATTTCTCGTTCCTTCTCTTTTACTCAGTGCACTCTCCTTTTTTTTTTTTTTTTGAGACGGAGTCTCGCTCTGTAGCCCAGGCTGGAGTGCAGTGGCCGGATCTCAGCTCACTGCAAGCTCCGCCTCCCGGGTTCACGCCATTCTCCGGCCTCAGCCTCCCGAGTAGCTGGGACTACAGGCGCTGCCACCTCGCCCGGCTATTTTTTGTATTTCTTAGTAGAGACGGGGTTTCACCGTGTTAGCCAGGATGGTCTCGATCTTCTGACCTCGTGATCCGCCCATCTCGGCCTCCCAAAGTGCTGGGATTACAGGCTTGAGCCACCGCGCCCGGCCTATGCACTCTCTTGTCATAATCTCAGACCTCAATTTAATTATTTCTCCCTAGATGCCTCACAGATCTGAATCTCAATAATAATTAATAATAATAAAAGTTAGCATTTGTTGAGGCACTTTAATATGTACCAACCACATATATATTACCTCATTTAATCTTTAAGGTAACTTTATGCCTTAGATACTGTACTTATTGATAAAGGAACAGAAGATTAGAGAGAGAAGTAACTTGCCCAATATCATGCAGGTAGGAAATGGCAGAGCTGGAATTTGAATTCTGATATGATCCCAGAGCTCTTCCAAGGATTTTATATTTAAATGCTGACAACTCAGTTTATCTCAAATGTCAAAACTGACCTCAAATCTTTGTTAGTAGTATTGATAGTAATTAAAGCTGCAGTTCAGGTCAGGCACAGTGGCTCACACCTGTAATCCCAGCGCTTTGGGAGGCTGAGGCGAACAGATCACTTGAGGGCAGGAGTTTGAGGCCAGTCTGGCCAACACAGTGAAACCCCATCTCTACTAAAAATACAATTAGCCAGGCATGGTGATGGGTGCCTGTAATCCCAGTTACTCAGGAGGCTGAGGCAGGAGAATTGCTTGAACCCGGGAGTTAGAGGTTACAGTGAGCCAAGATTGTGCTACTACACTCCAGCCTGGGAGACAGAGCGAGACTCCATCTCAAAAGAACAATTTTGACTGGGTACAGTGGCTCATGCCTGTAATCCCAGCACTTTGGGAGGCCAAGGTGAGTGGATCATCTGAGGTCAGGAGTTCCAGACCAGCCTGACCAACATGGTGAAATCCCATCTCTACTAAAAATACAAAAATTAGCTGGGCCATGGTGGCGCATGCCTGTAATCCCAGCTACTAGGGAGGCTGAGGCAGGAGAATCGCTTGAACCCAGGAGGCAGAGGATGCAGTGAATGGAGATCGTGCCATTATACTCCAGACTGGGCAACAAGAGCAAAACTCTGTCTCAAAAAAAAAAAAAAAAAAAAAGTAAAGCTGCTAATTCAGTGGCTTACTATGAGGGCTTACTATGTGCCAGGCACCATGCTGAATATTTACCTGGTATTATCTCATTTAATCCTCAAAACACTTTTGAAATTGTATTATCTCCGTATTTTAGATGAAAAGCTGATTTTTAAAGAGATTAAACACCTTCTCCATACAAATAAGTGGTAGTGCCAGGATTTGAAGTCAGAATTGGATTAACAGACCCCAAAGGCCATGTTTTTCACCATTTTGCTGCATTGCCTTTTAAACCTGTTCCTTCTCCTGTGTCCCTTATCCCAGTGAAATAACCATCCTCTCAAGTTTCCAAATAGGTATATCCCCTAACCAGCTTGATGCAAATATTTCATGCCATTACATTCTTATGTAGAATATTTTTCTAAATCCTTTTTGTATTTTTAGTTCTTTAGTTCATCTTTTGAAACATTTGACCTTGTAATTACTAAAATGTTCTGTTTTCTTGACATTTGTTCTGTTACATATATTAATGTATTGTTCATTCTTTCAATAACTTTTGAGTACTTAGCATTCTGGGGTAGGGATGAGTATACAAATAAAGCATTGAAAAAAGCTACCGCTGGAGAATCGCAAACATTAAACTGTGTGGTACAGTCTGAAAGAATAGTATAATCTAGCAGTGCTGTTCCCTTCTAGAAAGCTCAGCTCCCGTAATGTCACTGTGCCAGCCTTACTTGCCATTTTCTGAACTTTCCCTTGACACTCTCAGTTTCAAGGCTTTGCTCACACACCATTCCTTGTGCCTGAAATTTCCTTCCATCCTTGTCATCTTTTAGATGAACTCAAATTCAGCTGCTTACAAAAATTACTGCAAGGGAGCACTTTTTTTTTTTTTTTAATGAATTCATTTGTCTCACACTGGTCTGTGACTTTTAGAGGATAGAGACTGCATCTTTTTGTTTTTTTTTTTTTTTTGAGACAGGGTCTCACTCTCTCTCTGTAGCCCAGGCTTGAGCCCAGGAATTTGAGATCAGCCTGGGAAACATAGTGAGACTTCATCTCCAAAAAAATTATACTTTTAGATGGATCTAGAAACTGAGTCATAAAGAAAATTGATGTAAGGTAAAAGTCCTGACTGCATATTCAGTGTTAATCTTGATATCCTCAGAGGGTGGGAATCACTGAAGAAGGTAGGTTAATGCAACTCTCTAGCTCTTGGGCCAGGAGGGAGAAGGAAGTATAGGCTTTGAGGCAGCCATTCCAAGGAAAAGGGCAAGGCTGTCAGCGGGATGTATACTAAAAGATCACTGAGAGGCAACACTTGCTAGGTAGCCCAGTTAAAATTATAACATGAATTAAATAAATCAGAGTAGGTAAGTCATTCGACTCTGAATAAAGTTGGTGGGAAAAGAGAGTAACAGGTAATCAGTTCATCAGAAGACTGAATCTTTATCTCATTTTCTGTCTCTAGGAGAGAAACCTTTCCTTTGTGAAGCCCAAGGATGTGGCCGTTCCTTTGCTGAGTATTCTAGTCTCCGAAAACATCTGGTGGTTCACTCAGGTATCAGAACCTTTGCCATTCATAGATTTTAGGAAAAGTAGACAAAAGACTAAAAGAGTTGTGGGGGTGATATAAAGACACCTAAAAAGAAACAAACTGTTCACTATAAAGATAGAAAGCTTCTCATCATCATGACGGAATCAGAAGTCTAGGCCCTTAATTCTTATAATCAAGGAGTGGGGGGAACATCTAATTATTATTTTCAGCTGTGTTTCTAATACAGCCTTTTTTTGAACAGCAAATTTGACACACTGCTGGGTGCTTTATAAGTTACATGAAACATGGACGCTTCTCTTTAGGAATTGATGTTTTTATCCTTGGGGAGGATTTCACATCAGAAGAAAGTAAAAAGATTGATATAAGTTGTAGCAGCACCAGTAATATTACTGCCTTCTGAGCAGGTGTTAGTGATCCTGCTTGAGTCACCATTTTGGCAGAAACTGTGCCTTTGGCAAATAGAACCACAAACCTTATCGTTGCAGATGTGGAGAAGAGAAGAAAGGAGTAAGATTTAGCGACCCATTTTCTGTTTGGAGCCTTAAATTAATTCCCTGCAATTCTGTCAGTTATGTCTCATCTTCTCAACCAGAAGTCAGGTACAGCCCAGGGAAAAACCTGTATCTTGTTAGAAGGACTTTTTTCCTGTAGGACATGGTGATTTACTTGGAAAACAAGACGGGGAAGGTAGTTTAAGAAGGGCCTAGAATGTCAGAAAGGAGAGTTTGTGGAGCCTACTGGAAGTACAACCTGATGAAAACTTGGCTTACTGAAGGTTAATCTGTCAGTGATGCAGAAGCTAAACCAAAATAGGAAGAGATGAGAAGACTTTTTTTCAGTCTGGTCAAGAAGTCTGCTCCAGTGTAGTGGCAGGGAGCATGGAAAGAGATCCAGTGAAAGAATCTGTTCAACTCCGCAAATGATTGGCTATAAAGTGATACGGAAATGGAGGCAGCAGGTGAGGATTATTGATTCAAGAAGCATGGTAGTGGCCGGGTGTGGTGACTCATGCCTGTAATTCCAGCACTTTGGGAGGCCGAGGTGGGTGGATCACTTGAGGTTAGGAGTTTGAGACCAGCCTGGCCAACATGGTGAAATCCTGCCGAGATCAGCCTACTAAAAAAATACAAAATTATCCGGGCGTGGCAGCACATGCCTGTAATCCCAGTTACTTGGGAAGCTGAGGCAGGAGAATTGCTTGAGCCCGGGAGGCGGAGGTTGCAGTGAGCCGAGATTGTGCCATTGCACTCCAGCCTGGGCAACAAGAGTGAAACTCCGTCTTTCAAAAAAAAAAAAAAAAAAAAAAGCATGGTAGTTTCAGGAGGTTGAGGCTGCAGTGAGTTGTGATTGTGCCACTGCACTCCAGCCTGGATGACCGGGCGAGACCCTGTCTCAAAAAAAAAAAAAAAAAAAATGTGGTAGTGAAGATAAGGAGGGAAAGGGGGCTTTCCAGTTGTCAGGGTGACTCACATATTTATGAGGGGTTAGAAAAGTGTTGGATGATGAATGCTAGAGGGGGTCTGTAGACTAGCCTTGTCAGTTCGTTGGAGGTGAGAAAAAAAAAAAATTCCTGGCGTACAACAGCTGTTTAGAATTTGTTGATTGAGCCAATGAGAATGAATAAAAGGATTGCCAAGTAACAGTGAGTGAGGACATAGCTGAGAGTAAGTAGCATAACTTTTTTTAGTAGACATTCAGATTTTATTACGTTTTTCTGCTACTGCTGAACAATTTAAAAGCTGGACACTGGAGAAAATAGGTGATGGAGGTTAATCAGAACAGAGGCTTGCTGAGTAAGAGATGAACTCAAGGAGGAGAGGGATTCTAGAATGGAATCAGGTCATTGTTGAATGACGGGCCATGGGAAACAAGGGGAAGCCAGAACATGACAAGTGGAAAGGAGGAACTGGCAGTTACTTATGAGGAAAGCAAGCTACTGCAGCGGGAGCAAGGAAGTTGGAGATTACAATCAGGAATGGGCATTGCAGAGTTGAGCTATTAGGAGTGGAGCAGTGTTTTAATATGATGACAGGTTCTAAGCAGAGATGGCAAACTGGTATCCTGTAGGCTAGATGTGGACTTCAGGTGTGTTTTGCTTGGATTGTAGAGCATTTTTATTTTACTTTACTGTGTCAGATTATGTGAAAGATTCACCAAAGTAGTTTTTTTTTTTTTTTACATAGCAACAGTGGTGTTATACCTATCAAAATTAATAATTCCTTGGTTTTATCTTATAACCAATGTTCAGTTTTTTCTGCTTGTTTCGAAAATTTCTTTTAAAGTTGGTTTGTTTAAATCAGGATCCAACAAGATCCAATATTATACTTGGTTATTAAGTCTTTAAAACTCTAGATCTTTCTACATGGAGTTTTTGTTGTTGTTGTTGTTTTTCATAGAGTTTTTGCAAAACAGAGTTAGTTGAGTCCTATAGAATACCCCACATTCTGGATGTGTTGGTTTGCTTCCATTTATGTCATTTAACTTGTTTCCCTACATTTCCTATAAATGTAAGTAAGCTCTAAAAGCTTCAAAGTTTGGAAGTTTGGGGCAAGAATATGTGAGAGATGGTTCTGTGTGCTTCATTTTGTGTCACATCAGGAAGCTCACAGTGCTTGGTTGTCAAAATTGATCCATGGGTTCAGCTGGCCTAATCCCTATATTGTAAAGTTCCCTATGAACCTTTCACTTTCTCTTTTTTTTTTTTTTTTTTTTTGAGACAGTTACTACTGTGTTGCCCAGGCGAGAGTGCAGTGGCGTGATCTTGGCTCACTGCAGCCTCCACCTCCTGAGTTCAAGCAATTCTCCTGTCTCAGCCACCTGAGTAGCTGGTATTACAGGCGCATGCCACTACGCCCCACTAGTTTTTATATTTTTACTAGAGATAGGGTTTCACCATGTGACCAGGCTGGTCTTGAACTCCTGACCTCAAGTGTTCTGCCTGCCTTGGCCTCCCAAAGTGCTGGGATTAACAGGCGTGTGCCACTGCACCCAGCCAACCTTTCACCTTTTGATATCATTCCTAAATGATGCCTGAATCCCTTATTTCATTAAGGATTGTAAAATGGTGGTTTTTCTTACTCATTTACTCTTTTCACGTTAGTTGGAATTCTTCTGTACTGTGGGACTCTGTAGTTGGACTCTTTTCCACTAATATCAAGTATAGGGCTATTTGATCATTTGCATAGCCAAGGCAGGATCAATGTGTAATTCTTTTAATTGTGAATTTTGAGAATAAGGAATTGATGCTCTAGTTACTTCTAGTATTTCATGTTTGATGCTATTTCAAATGAAATGTTTCCTTGATTTTATTTTTGAGTTGTTCATTGCTAATATGTAGAAATATAATTGAATTTTGTACATTGATCTTGCAACCTTGGTAAGTGCTTGAGTTTTAGTAGTTTCTTTTTTTTTTTCCTTCCAGCTTTTTAGTTCAGGGGTACATGTGCAGGATGTGCAGGTTTGTTACATAGGTAAAGGTGTCTTTTACCATGGTGGTTTGCTGCACAGATCATCCCATCACCTAGATATTAAGCCCAGCGTCTGTTAGCTATTCTTCCTGATGCTCTCCCCCTCCTCCTACACCCTATTTTTTCTTTTCTGTTTATTTTTTTTAGAGACAAAGTCTCACTCTATTGCCCAGGCTAGAGTGCAGTGGCACCATCATAGCTCACCGAAGCCTTTGAGCTCCTGGGAACAAGTGATCTTCCCACCTCAGCCTCCCCAATAGCTGGGACTGAGGCAGAAATTTAAAAATAAATATGCATTCATTCACTCCAAGAAAATAACAGGCAATGCAAGGGTTAAAAAGAAAAGAACAAGTTTTCCTCTGCCTAGCAAGTTCACTTCAAGGACAGTTAAAAGGTAACGCTGTTTGAGAAGCCAAGGCCAAAAGAATGGACTCCAGACACCCCCTCTTCCAGAGCAAGGTTGAAGGAAAAAAAAAAAGAGAGAAAGACAAATTCCTTTACTGTTATTCACTTCCCTGGCTTCTTAAGCATAACTGTTTTACAAATGTCTGTATTTAGCCAGTTCTTATTTTTCTTTCAATGCAGTTACAAGGCCACCAGCTATGCAAGGCCACAAGTTATGCTATGCTATAGATTATGTGACCTGTCACGATTAACTGCTTTTGTTTCACTTTTGTAAGTCGTTTGTAAAAACCCCACTCCGTCTTTGTTTAATGCTCAGCTTTTTGGATGTGAATCCACTGAGCTGGTGCGTACATAAAATAAACAATCCTCCCGTTCTCCGTATCAGCCTTTCCAGTCCTTAATTTCCCGCAACAGGACTACAGACTCACACCACCACATCTAGCTAATTTCTATTTTTTTTTTGTAGAAATGGAGTATTTTTGTGTTGCCTGGGCTGGTCCTGAACTCCTGGCCTCAAGTGATATTCCCACCTTGGCCTCCCAAAGTGTTGGGATTACAGGCATGAGCCACCACACTTGGCTGAGTTTTAGTAGTTTTTAAAAAATAGATTTTTTAGTGTTTTCTACATAAAAGATCATGTCATCGGAGATTAAAGATAGTTTTGCTTCTTCCTTTCCAATCTAGGTGCCTTTAATTTCCTTTCTTTTCTTTTCTTTTTTATTTATTAAGTTTTTTTGAGACATGGTCTCCCTCTGTTGCTCAGGTTGGAGTGCAGTGGCATGATCATGGCTCACGGCAGCCTCGACCTCCTGGGCTCAGGCAGTTCTTCCACATCAGCCTCCCGAGGCTGGGACTACAGGCGCATTCCCAGCTTTTTTTTTTTTTTTTTTTGAGTCTCACTGTGTTGCCCAGGCTGGAGTGCAGTGGCACAGTCTCAGCTCACTGCAATCTCCAGCTCCCAGGTTCAAGTGATTCTTCTGCCTCAGCCTCCCGAGTACTGGGATTACAGGCATGCACCACCACGCCCAGCTAATTTTTGTATTTTTGGTAGAGACAGGTTTTCACCATGTTGACCAGGCTAGTCTGGAACTTCTGACCTCAAGTCATCTGCCCACCTTGGCCTACCAAAGT